CCCTCTCCCCTCCCCTCCCAACACCGTACGCGAGTACCGGAAGTCTATAGTTTAATCCACCAATTTCTCACCTTGTGACTCAGATTCAGCCCTAACATACTACTTAGCGACCGCATTTCTACTGCATTTATTCTACTCTCGTGCTTCTTCTGCCATACCCAAATTTAACTACCATACGTTAAAGTAGGGAATAATACAGCATTGTGAATTGCCATACGTGCCTTTTTTTAACACATTCTGACTTTTCACAATAGAGTATAGAGCCCCCTTTACTGTATTTCCTCGTTCACTGATCGTTCTATATCCTTATCATATCTCCCATCCCTGCTGAATACACATCCCAAATATACAAACTCATCTACTTGCTCTACCATCCCCCCATCTATTCGTTTAGATAAATTATTATTGCATGTCTCTGACACGGCATCCTAGCTTAGTTTGATCCAATAGATAGAACTATTAGTATTGAACAACTAGTTGTTCGCCGCGACTTCGTCTGCGTGAAATTTATTACGAATGGATTTCATGAGTTTTAATTTTTTGGGCGGAATCCTGATTCTTTTTCAAAAATAAAAGTAGCCTACGTTACTCCTTATAACGTCAGTTACCTGCTAGTGAAAGTCACGTCGAAATCGGTCCAGCCGTTTCGGAAATTAGCCGGAACAAACAGACAGACAGAAAAATTTCGATAATAAATAATCGGAATCTCGGAAACGGCTCCAACGATTTTCATAAAATTTGCTGTCCAGGGGCTTTCGGGGGCAATAAATCGATCTAGCTTGGATTTATTTTTAGAAAATCTCTTTTTGTCCGTGTTTTCTGGCAATGAAAAACTGCTACAATATCGTTTAAGCACGTTTATGATTATAATAGCTCAAATGAGATATCGGGCGGTCACGAAATCGTAGTAGTCTGGTTCGGGAGCAGTCGCCGCCCGACTTTTTTCCTTTTTTTTGAGAAAATCTATTATTTCGAGCCCTCTTTTTAGTATTTTCTTAAAAACACGAAAATTTAAATTAAACTTATTGCACCCATGATTTTTTATTCAAATAACCAGTTTAGTTTTTTTTTCTATTATGTCAATAAGATCAAAAAATATTATTCATATTTTATCAGTATGTAATTTGTATCTAAATATAATTTCCAAAACACACGATTTCAAAAAAAAAAATACCGAGCAAAGCTCGGTCATCCAGGTGCTTATTTTATATGCATATAGCAAAAAGCTGTTTTGAAATAACAAACACTGAAATTTTATTTCAGTATTGTAGTGTCTCAATGACTACACGTTTATTTCAATGCACGTACACAGCACGTTTGTAAATAATTGTTTACAGTACTCGCTGTGCAAGGCCAGGAGAACGTCATTATCATCGTCGTAATATTGCAATTCCTAATGATTCATTCCTCATTACAATTAATCAAAGATCACTGCAGGATATAGGACATAGACATACACTACCTTATAAGAGAGATTTAACACGTGGTAAAGCCAAGTTGCAGCTACATTATGGTTGAAATACGAATGTGTCGGTTCGATCAGGGTAAAATAGCAGCGTAATGCTGTTGTGTTTCGTGTGGTGAGTGTGGAGAACCGGATACCCTTTTTACTGGAAACGAGGCATTCCATCTTAATCCTCACGGGTGACAATGCATCAGCGTTTTGATTCTTAATTGAGAATAGATGTAGATGTTCATGGGTTACAGCATCGACTTAAAATCAGAAACTAAATCAAAAAAAATATCTTATAACAACCAAAAAAATATGCAAAGACAACTATAGCAAATACCTCTTTTTTATACAATAACGGTAACAAAGAACACACAGTCCACCTGATGGTAAGTGGTTGCTGTGGCCCATAGATATCTATCCCCGATTACAGGCAACTGAACAGACAGATCAGGCAACTGAACAGACAGATCTCCAAATGCATGCGGCGAGACTTACGCAACTTTAATACTACTCGTATTAAAGAAGCGATCGAGCGGAACCAGGGCTCCAAAGTCTTTGCTAGAGATCTGTCTGCCAGAAAGAGCCAGCTTTCAAAGCTGAAGACTGAGTGTGGCAGCATTGTTTCCGGGATACCTGAGATTCTGAGTGAGATTGAGAGGTTTTTATGGGCAGCTGTACACATCATCGTTGGAGCCACACGCAAGTGTGAGTAACGATCCAAGAGCAACTCTTATCCGACACTATTCCGATGATATCCCGGACGTCAGTCTGAGCGAGATTAGAATGGCTCTCCAGCACCTTAAAATCGGCAAATCCCCGGGCGAGGATGGAATTACAGCGGAGCTTCTGAAAGCGGGTGGAAAACCGGTACTTGAAGTCCTTCGGAGTTCCTTTAATTACGTCCTCCGTGGTGGCACTACTCCAGAGGCGTGGAGCAGAAGTGCGGTGGTCTTGTTCTTCAAGAAAGGTGACAACGCCCTCTTGAAGAACTACAGACTGATATCCCTTCGGAGCCGCGTCTACGTGCTGTTTTCGAGAGTCATTACTAATCGTCTCGCACGCAGACTCGACGACTTCCAGCCTCCCGAACAAGCCGGTATCCGAAAAGGCTTTAGCACCACAGACCACATACACACCCTTCGGCAAATTGTACAGAAGTCCGAAGAGTACAATCTGCCACTTTGCCTGGCGTATGTGGACTATGAGAAAGCCTTTGATTCCGTCGAAATTTGGGCGGTGCTACAGTCTCTTCAGCGGTGCCAAGTTGACTGTCGGTATATCGAAGTGCTGAAGTGTTTGTACAGTAGGGCTACGATGGCTATCCGAGTACAGAACCAGAGTACGAAACCTATCCAACTGCAGAGAGGTTAAGACAGGGTGACGTTATTTCCCCGAAACTCTTCACCGCTGCATTGGAAGACGTTTTCAAGCTACTGGACTGGAAAGGATACGGCATTAACATCAATGGCGAGTACATTACTCACCCTCGATTTGCCGACGATGTAGTCCTTATGGCAGAATCGCTGGAGGACTTAAGCACTATGCTCAAAGACCTCAATAGTGCCTCCCAACGGATAGGTCTTAAGATGAACATGGACAAAACAAAGATCATGTTTAATGTCCATGTTACACCTATGCCGGTAGTACCTGGGACAAATAGTCCGACTAGGTAAGTCCAACTTCGACCGAGAGGTCAATCGACGGTTTCAACTCGGCTTTGCAGCGTTCGGGAAATTACGACACATCTCCTCGTCAGGTATACCTCCAAACCTGAAAACCTCCTAAGTTGTACAACCAGTGCGTGTTGCCATTGATGACATATGGAACTGAAACGTGGTCCTTCACTGCTTGCCGTATGAGGACGTTCAAAATCGCTCAGCGAGCTATGGAGAGGGCTATGCTCGGAGTTTCTCTGCGTGATAAACTTAGAAATGAGGATATCAGCAGTAGAAGCAGAGTGACCGACATAGTCCAACGAATTAGTAAGCTGAAGTGGCAATGGGCCGGCCATATAGCTCGAAGAACCGACAACCGATAGGGAAAAAAGGTTCTCGAGTGGCAGCCTCGTACCGGTAGGTGTAGTGTAGGGCGACCCCCCACTAGATGGAGTGACCACCTGGTGAGACATGCAGGAAGTCGATGGATGCAGGTGGCTCAGGACCGTGCTTTGTGGCATACCTTGGGGGAGGCCTATGTTCAGCAGTGGATTTGTAGGGGCTTTAATGATGATGATGATGATGATGACTCTCCGTAACAGTGAACCATTAAGCTTTACTGGAGGAACACTTATTGGACTTTTATTTCTGCCTCTGAAAACCAACAGTTCACTTTTTTAATATTATAGTTTAATCCATGCTGCTCAGCATAATTCTCACAAATGGAAATCAAACTTTCGTATTCCACAGATTGACAGGCTCACCAGCACCATGACGTCTGCGTAGCTCAAGTTAATATATAGTTATAAGTTAATATAATAATGCTGTATCTATTACTATAAGTCCACCCGAGGGTAAGTGGGTGCTGTGGCCTATAGACACCTACCTTTATCATCCATTATGGTACAGATGCGCTGTCATCCATGAGGACTAAGATGGAATGCCTCGTTTACAGGAAAAAGAGTCTACAGCATTACCGCTGGTATTCTGTGAGAGCGTGGTCGAGCCGACCCGTTCGTGTTGCAACCATAATATAGCTGTAGCGTGGCTCTACCACGTAACATAAAAAAGGAAGAGGAAGATTCTTAGTGAACTTCTTAACACATTCGGGTATTTTTTTTTAATATTAATTGACCGTTGTTACATTTGTCGTTGTGTTGTTTTAACTTGGTGGAGCAATGCTGCAGTAATACTTAACATACTTGATGTTATGGTGTAGCACGATTGGGTCACCTCGATCTCGAAGAACCACGGTTCACAGAATAGCAACGCTTGATGCTGCTTTTTGTATGTAGAGAACTGGAAACCTTTCTTCTGGTAACGAAGAAGAACTCGTTACCTTATTTCATATCTTAGTCTTCAAGAGTGACAACGCATCTACAGTTTTATACTCTATCTTAGTCTTTGTCGATCTAAAACTCGAAAACTGCTCGAACGATATTGATGAATTTTTTTTTGTGTATTTGAGTTGGATAGTTTAAAACTCAATTGGACCCGGAAGATGGCGCTGCTGTTATGTTTTTATAGAATAAAGGTAACGACGAACGAGCACACAGTCCACCTGATGGTAAGTGGATGCTGTGGCCTACAGACATCTACATCTATCATCGATTACGAATCAAAATGCAGATGCGTTGTCACCCGTGAGGACTAAGATGGAATGCCTCGGTGCTATTTTACGCTGGTATTCTGTGAGAGCGTGGTCCTTCCCCGGTCGAGTCGACCCATTCGTAGTACAACTATACTACTAATATAACCGCAGCATGATTCTACCAAGTAAAGTCTGTAGGCGACAGTACCCACTTACCATCAGATGTGAACTGTGAGTTCGTTATTCCACTTTATTACTTTTTTACCCCAACAGGTGATAATAATAATATGCATGAATAATCATGGAGCCTTTAATAAACACAAACGGACTAACTAGTTTTCAAACACAAAATTTGCCATTTTATGCAGAATGTCGTAGAGGTAAGAGCGAGTTTCCTATGCATATTCTAACTTTATCTTTTATATTTCATATCAATTTATTACTAGATAGTGTGGTCACTGTAAGTGTTAAAACTGGGAATTTATTAATTATAGCAGTGTTATTAACGACTTATAATTAATGTGTTCCGCAACTATAATATTTTGAAAAAGCGGTCTAGGTGCGACCCGTAACGTTCACTCGACTAACTTCCCAGTGGAAAGAATAAAAAATACCATATGTTTTAATATTTTATACAATTTTTCATTCGGCACAAAAAACGACTTAACCGATTTTGCTCAAAATTTAATGAGGTCATAGTTACATAATTATGCGTTAAGTGAAACTGGTCCAATGTCAATATCACTCTCTTTGTTCTCGAGATACAAGAGGCGAAAATTAAATCCGAATATATATACATATATACATACATACATCCAATACATGTGCACACACGGAAATCCTCTTAAAAACCATACTAATCGACTCTAAATTAGACCTTGAAACGTGGAGATATGTTTAAATTTCCAATTTGCAAAATCGGACCCATTAGAATAGAATAAATAGAATAGAATAATTTTTTTATTCAATATATATTACGAATAATTCTTATTGAAAGTCAATATTTTACGTTACCACTGGTTCGTAAAAAAACTTCTGTCCTGGGAAGAACCAGCAAGAAACCCAGCGGGACTTTAAAAATAAATTTTTCACAAAATATTTACAAAAATTTATTTTAGAAACAGCTTGGAAGCGACCACCTCATTCCCAGGGATTATTATCAACCAAGAGAGACCTTGTATATTTTCTGGGACATTGTTGTAATAGCGTATACATAGCCCCAAGAATGAAATACTAAGTCTGTGGAGTCGAGAAACTGGTAGCACTAGCACCAGTACAGTAACTTCCCACTGGGAAGTTAATAATTATTTTCTGTATCCATTCCGTTAAAGTTAGTTACAGGCTATACACATCCCACTGCTGGACGTAGGAATACTCTCATTTCTGAGAAGGTTTTAGGGCAAGGAAGTGTCCGCCGCCACGCTGCCCTAATGCATGTTGGTGAACTTCACGTGTCTTCGAAATATTTTTTTCTTAATTCTCAGACATGCAGGTTTCCTCACGATGTTTTCCTTCACCTCCAAGTAGTTCGTATACCCGTACTTAAAATTGCAATTAACAATTTCATTAGTGTATTAGTACCACAGCTCGATACACCGACCTTACTTCATAGGATCATTTCTGTAATAAGTTTATTAGGAGATACATTACGTAATACGTTATCATTATTTCTATAATACTAGATATATACAATTTTTATTAATTTTATGAAAGATCAATACCTCTAAATTAGTCTTTTCTTTCGCCCACTTGTTATCGTAAGAGGTGACTATGAAGTCTGCTAGAATTGGGTAAATAACTTTTATTTGCGAAAAACTTGCAACAAAGCGCCAAAATTGCTAATATTATCGACGCCACACACGGTCAGTTCAACTGATCATTCAAACTGATCAGTTCAAACTAAAACAGTTGATATTTTTTAAAATATTGGATGTTCGATATATCGATAAATAAACTTATATATATAAAAGTCTAATATTGATATATTTATAATTATCGATATACTGAAAATCCGATATCTTAAAAAATATCAACAGTTTTAGTTTGTACTGATCAGTTGGAATGATCAGTTGGACTGACCGTGTGTGGCGACGATTATGATCCCTAATCCGTCTTCAATCCTGGCTATAATGGCAAATTCACACTACAACGGGATAGGCCGAGGATCGGCAGTGAACTACTGGGATCTGATTACTTAGATACTTAAACTTAATAAATAGTTTTTTAAACTAACGTGTATCCACACCCTTATAACAAGAATAATGTATTTATTTAGTGGAAAAAATGTTATGAGATAATATATGATGAGCCAGGCAGTTTCTAGGTTAAGGTGTTAACCGTCTTGTGATATCATGATATCTCAGAGAACGGCTCTGAGATTGCTTCCGAATCTTGTAATCCCATTACATAAACGTGTTTCCCTTCTAGCATATATCAGCATATATCACGGTTGTAGAAAACATTTCACAAACAGTTTTTGTCAAGACAAAAGTGTGTTTATGTATGTACGTTAGTTTCAGCTGGAATTCGAATGAAGGACTGCCGGCCGTTAATGTATATAGCATTAATCACGTAATTATTTAGTTAGTTTACTATAATGAATATAAAGAAATAGCGATTGGTACAACGCGTTAAAAATAGCTTTAAAGTTATTTCTGTTATATACAGAACGAGTACCTACCCTATTCAACTATCATTCATCAAATCAAGTTTTAACTATAGCTATTTATTTAGTAGCGCGGGAAACCGCTTTGCGGTAAGACGGCTCGCGATTGCTGTTAAATGCATTTCAAATATTTGTTATAATAAAAGGAACGTATTTGGAGTAACAAAGAAAGTCAAACGTGATATTATTATTTTAAATGTTACATAATATAGCGATTTTGTGAAATAGTTTTGTGGTGCCTAAAATATTTGTTTCAAAAACGATAATAGATTTCTATTCGTCTAATTAGTTAATATTGTTTGTGTAATGTGGATACACACGTAGGTAGTGAATAGATCAAAGAGGTACTTCATAATGTTTTTTTTTTTCATAATATTTACTATATTAGATCAAATGATATTTTACATCAATTTCATTTATTGAAACAGTTTGTTGTAGTGAACATTAACTGTGTTTAAAAATTGGGACCATGTTTAAGATCTGATTTTCTTTGTTTCTTTGTTCTTCAAAATAGAATCATAAAACTAATGACACTTTCGTATTAATTTACAGTAAAAATTATCTTCATATTTTTATTTTTAGAGCAATGAGTACAACCAATATGATTTACGTCACCTCGGTAGCACTAATATAGGAGTTGAGCATTTAGTCGCGGCACTGAGATGCCGCGGGTTCGAATCCTGTACGAATTGTTTGTAATGGCATGCGAATAATGGTTTGGGGTCGGGATGTATGTTCACGTGCAATTTATATATGTAACGTTTTAAAGTGGACCAGCCCTGGACCAGTCAGATGAAGCTGTAAGAGCCGCATAGGCTAACAGTGGCGGTAACTTCTCTCTCTCTCTCTCTCTCTCTTATATATATATATATATATATATATATATATATATATATATATATACATATATATATATATATATACATATATATATATATATATACATGTAACAAAACCCCTGTGGTCCTAAGTTCATGAATTATCCAAGCGTATCGAAATAATTTCTTTTCAAAAATACACATTTAAAAAAATTATTTTAATGATAAAAAAACATTTATTTACAAATTGTGCGTGGTTTTGTTATCTCTGCATTGGCCGAGGAGTAAGAGGATTGTCCGCAGTACCGATACTCGTGTGCATTAGAGGAAATAAAACCACATTATAATTTGCAAATTAATTTTTTTTTTCATTAAAATAATTTTTTTTAAAAGTGTTTTTTTGAAAAAAAAAAGAATTATTTCTATAAGTTTGGATACTGATTCCGATAACGCAGTTAACGGGAACCACAGGGTTTTTGTTACATGTTGTATATATAAATAAAAATGATTTTCTGTCACTCGACTGATTTTAATGATTTTTTTGTGTGCGTTGGAGTGGGTTCTTGGACGGTTCAGATTCACATTTGGACTCTACAATAAAAAGAAGTGGTTTATACGTTACGTAATAATTTTCTATTACTTAAATATTTGTTAGTTATATTTATACAGTTAATAAACGAATAATAACTATTTATTTGTTAGAGTGGTCTTCCGTTGTACACCCATCGCATTTTAACTAGGGATGGGCCGAATATTCGGTTAAATTTTTACCGAACCGAATACTCGGCTGAACATTATTGGGCAGGGTAATCTCGGGACTTAACCAATTTATGTCGAAACTTGTTATCGTAAAGCACACGGGATTAGCGCCGGACCCCCACCCTTCGCTTCTCAGCTATACCTGACATGTTATTGCATTATCTAGTACTGAGCAAATTGCCGGCACATGCTTATGTTTTGACTATTCTTGTGATAAAAAAGTATTTCGTTTTTTTTATTCTTAATTAAAGTTAAAGTTATAGCCTATATACGTCCCACTCCTGGTCACAGGCCTCCGCTCATTTCTGAGAGGGTTATAAGGCAAGGAATTGTCCACCGCACTGCCCCAATATGCTTGTTGGCGAACTTTACATGTCTTCGAAATAATTTTTTTCTTATTTCTCAGACATGCAGGTTTCCTCACGATGTTTTCAAAATTTTTGTAAATCAGCACTTAAAATTGCAATTAATAATTTAATTTGTGCCAGCGGGGATCGAACTCGGTTTGGTCGTGCACTGTGAAATTTACAGCGAGCGCGAACCATCTGAGCTACTATGGCTCTTTATTCTTAGTGAATAAGGTAAAGAGCCGTAAGAATTTTATTCTTAGTGAAAATTGATAATTATATGATAAAAATGAGCGGCAGGAGATTTACTATTTGGACTTATTTTAGAGAAACTGACGACCAAAGTAAAGTGAAATATACTAATGAATGTTTTTTTGATTAATTAAGTTTCTATTTGCCATAATCGGAAATATATCCACAGTGCCTCAAAAACATAAATGTATAGATTTATGCATTTGAGGCACTCTTAGAGTAAGTGGATTTAACCCATAAATAAAATATACTTTCAACAGTAAAGTACATCGCATTACTTAATTCGTATATTTCAATACATTGGACACTGAAAATGTTCGGTTCGAATGTTCGGTGATTTAGCCGAATATTCGGCCGAATACGAATATTCGGTAAACCTGCCGAATATGTCGAATACCGAATATAAAACAAATATTCGGCCCATCTCTAATTTTAACGTCGTCGTTGGTTCCCGAAATTAATGAAGCGAGGGACCGTACTGTCAAAATCGTAATGCAAGTTAGTGATGTTCAGTTCGATGGGTGTTTGTGTAAGTAGAAGGAATTTGTCATCACATAGCAATAACTATGACATTTTATAATCGGCCTTCGTAGGAGCATGGCCTTCCATGGTCCATCCACCCACCTTATTATTATTATACTCGCCCAGGCTTCGCCTGTATAGATTCTATTAATATAGCGTTTTTAAATCTCCAAGCTTTTCGTATAAAACTTTATATTACTTATTATTTTTTATACGTGGTAGAGCCATGCTGCAGTTATATTAGTAGTATAGTTGTAGCACGAATGGGTCGGCTCGACCGGGGAAATACCACGCTCTCACAGAATATCAGGGTAACGTTTCGTATGGTGAGTGTAGAGAGCCGGAGACACTTTTTACTGAAAACGAGGCTTTCCATCTTAGTCCTCAAGGGTGATGACAACTCATCTGCGTTTTGATTCATAGTCGAGGATAAATGTAGATGCCTATGAGCCACAGCATCCGCTTACCATCAGGTGGACTGTGTGCTCGTTTGTCACCCTATCCTATAAAAAAACCTAGATCCTCCCTGGCATTGCCGCCTATCTGTTCGTAAGGTTTCATCACAATTGGTTCAGCAACTCCGAAGATCAACTCGGACAGACGGTTAAAAGAAGCCAGTTCAATATTACAAAAATACCCTTCAACTATAGTTAACAACAACAGACCGATTACCATGTGGTTTAGTAGTTAAATTACCTTACTATAGCAGAACCTGGTTTCGAATACTAGGAAAGCCTAATTTTGCGCAAAAACACGAATTTGTCTTTATGGTCTTTTAGTTTAGATGTATAATATAATAATATAAACACTCACGCCTGTCACCCAGAGGGGTAGGCACAGACTACAGACTTCTATTTAGCACGATCCTGACACACCTCTCTCTCGCCTCCTTTACATCCATATACCTACGCATACATGCTCGTCGGTTAATTACTCTTAATTTGGCCCATTTTTAATACATCGGCAATTTGGTCGACAAACTTTCGCCTAGGGCGTCCCTTTCCGACTCTTCCATTCATTTCTGCAACATATATTTGCTTTGTCAGTCTTTCCTCATACATTCTTTCTACATGACCAAACCACCATTAATCCTGGTCACCGCATCATTTTGCAAACCACACTCTTCTTTTATCACACAATTTCAACAACAGATTCGGCCCTAACATACTACTTAGCCACCGCATTTCTACTGTATTTATTCTACTCTCGTGCTTCTTCTGCCACACATAAATTTAACTACCATACGTTAAAGTAGGGACTAATACAGCATTGTGAATTGCCATACGTGCCTTTTTTGACACATTCTGACTTTTCACAATAGAGTGTAGAGCCTTTATTGTATTTCCTGCGTTCACTCGTCGTTCTATATTCTTATCATATCCCCCATCCCTGCTACACATTCCAAATATACATATACAATACAATAGATGTCTCTGACACAGCATCCTAGCTTATTTTGATCCCATAGATAGATATTTATTGTACAACTAGTTGTTTGTCGCGTCAACAACCACCGTAAAGGTTACCAGACCAAAACTAGCTCTTGTCGAGAAAAGTCCAGAATCCTCCTTACAGAAAAAACCGACGTCATCAAGCGATGGCGTCAATATTTTGAAGACCTACATAATATTAACAACCATATCGTAACCACAGATGCTCCAACGTATTTTGACGTAGAAAAAATCTACCTGCTCCCACAGTTATAGATGTACAGGAAGTTCTTCGCATTTTAAAAATAATAAATCTCCAGGTCTAGATTCCATTACTGCAGAACTACTGAAGAGATTTGGTAATGAATTGACAGATCGTATGTATATGTTGGCGTTGCAAGTCTGGAATGAAGAAAAGATGCCAGTAGAATGGAATATGAGTATTACGGTACCTGTCTTCAAAAAGGGAGAGAAAACTGTCTGTAGCAACTATGGGGTTTTGTGGCCTATAAGGTGTTTTCAGAGGAACTGTATAAGCGCCTGAGTGTATATGCTGAGGAGATACTTGAGGAATAACAACGTGGCTTTAGACCAAACCGATCCACTACCTACCATATCCACCTAACGCGTCAGCTACTAGAGAAAACTTATGAATTTAATATTATAATCGCAATCAGATGTATAGTAACATGTTGCTCTTAGGTAGAGCTAGTAGAAATATGATGCAATATTAGATGAATATATATTAGTTAGGTTTACGTTAGCTACTTTCATATTTCTTATTTTTGGGACTTGTCAAGGCGACTTTAGAGCGTTCACAGTCCGTAGTTGCAGTTCAAAATGAGTTTTCAGAACCCTTTAGTATATCCACGGGAGTTAAACAAGGAGATGCATTGTCAACTCTTATTTTCAATATGGTGCTGTAATCAATCATTCGGAAAGTTAATATAACGGGTCTAATAGACTATAATACATCGCAGATCGCTGCCTATGCAGACGTCAATGTAATATCTAGTAGATCTAAAAACAGAATGGCGGATCACTATCTCAATCTCAGTAAAGAAGCGGAATTTTTCGGCCTCAAGATCAGCACCGAAAAAAACAAAATATCTCGCTACGACTCGGAAGCACGAGCCGCTACAAAACATCTCTATGATGAGCAACATTTTCGAAGGGGTTGAAACTTTTAAATACTTAGGGTCTAGAGCCGACTCATTCGTGCTACAACTATAATATAGTTGCAGGATGGCTCCACCACGTTTAAGAACTCTATTTCTAAATCTAAAGCTCGATTTGTGAATTTTACGGGCGAGTAAAACATACGCTGTTTGTAATTTACTTTTTATTTTCTTTGATTTCAGGTTATGGAGGAAGCCAATTGATGTCTCCAAAATGGCGGCTTCCAGTCGTGTTACAATCGCGCAAGATGGACAGGGGAATGTCAAATTGCATCCGTATTTTGCGGCATTGGTGTGAGTCTTTGATCCATTAAATAAAACTTTCCATTATAATTATTTTCTAGTATTGCTCTAACGCACAATATTACAGTTTTATATGAGTAATATATTTTTCTATAAAATTCTAAAATACTTTTGAGAAGGCAGTGTCGTTCTATCATATCATCATACAAATTACCATTTATAATTAATAGTAAATGTGATTATTTGCATTTGCATATTGCATATGCATTTGCATTTAGCCCCTTTTCAGCGGCAGTTGCATATTTTAGGAAAGATTTTGTAATCAGGCATATTTCGCTCGATCTCATAGCCGTGATAAACACTCATTGCGCCCACATACTATATGTATAGAGTATTAAAACTCATGAAACTCATGTATTGACGTTGAATGAATCTATTCAGGCAGCCAGAGCTATTCCCAAGTAAATTCCAGAAAAAGTTTAAAAAAATACCAAGTAAACCCAGTGCTTGAACCCCTATGCCAAATTGATAGTTTCATCAACTGGGCGAGTGAAATTTTGCCGGGCATAATAAGTCCAAACATGTCTTCCAAATTTAAATTCTACTCTGTCACCTCATTGGACTTAAATTAATGATCCTTTTCGGCTTACAAAACTGTATTAAGGGATCGTAAACACAATTTGTCTACAGAACATTATGAACAGTACTTAGTCTTATACATTTTCAAGGTAAATTTCAAATTTCATTGTTAAATATATTTTGTACTTGACGTTTTCGCAAATACGATTGTTATCTCTGAGAAATAATAGCTTTTTAAAATAAAAAAATAAAAACATTTAAAAATACTGCTTTCATATTATTTCATGTTGCATATTTAGGCCCTTTTTATTGATTTTCGAGTATATTTTAGCTACTTTTCTTGCATATTTGCATGCATATTTTGGGCTTTTTATGTTGCATATAATCCGGTCTTTAGTTAGTATTATTAGCATGTTACAAATTAACAATAGATTTAAAAAAGGGACATGGTCAGTCCCCCGTGACCATGGGTGCTGGAAAGCACCCGAAACGTCGGGTATTAAAAACAACATAACATTCGTAAAAGTAGTTTGAATCAATGTATAGTGTTCGCGTAAATATAAGAAATCATTTAGAGACAAAATGAAATATATCCTCGAGACCTCGTATTTATTGCCTTAAGCGGGCTACATACGACACGATATCGGTGGCGATCTAGGGTGGAAAGAAATCGGGGCTTTTATCGGGGTAGACCTTACACACGGGCCTGCCTAGCAGTACGCGTTCGGACTTGGAGCGGAATGCATATGCGGTAGAGTTCTTCAAAATACCTCCGACTCTCTTAAAACACCACCGTGTTGGTTTGGCATTAGCCATCTCGGTTAATTTATTCGAAAATAGAAAAAGAGAAGTTGCTGGGTGAAAAAATGGCTCCAAAAGAGATAAAAATTAAGCCACATAAACGTACTAAATGGCCTGTAATCCAAGGACGTGATTAATTTTCTCCAGATGGATGAAGACAGTTTTTATAACCTTCTAGAAATGATTTCGCCACTTATATAAAAAGGTCAATTTCTCCTACCTATGCAATTTAGTTATTTCTTCTCTTTGTTCATTTCTGCTTTGGTCAAAATCTGGTTATGTATTACACACAACAAACAAGGAAATAAAATACTTTTGTATAATAATATGTATACTTTTTTTTTAATGTAATCTTTATTTATGGAGTAAAACTATCAGAAAATAAAATAGCTTATATCTTTTTTTTAAACATAAAGAAACCTTTAATTTCGGACATACTCCCTTTTATATAACTAGTTTGTTGATGTGGAGATGGTGAAGGAGTAGAAGTTAGTTGTTGATAAGAGGATGAAGGCACGTAAGAGATCGAAGTGTGGTCTTGTGGAGTTGTAAGAGGTATGAGTGCGGTCTTGTGTTGATAGCGTTGGAATAGGAGTTAGTTGTTGAGGAGAGGCTTTATCTTCTCCTTACTTACATCATACACTCTACTTTACGAACGGCAATAAAAAAATTAGTTTAATAGGCATTCTTGACCATGTCACTTCGCAGGGTCACAGGCTAGGGTGGATATGATTTGAATTTCGATAAAATTTCAATTAATTTATTTATTTTATTCAATTTTTTTTGCTTTTTGTAAAATATCAGTGCCATAGGATTTTACTCCGTTTATATGATTAAAATGTAAAAATTTTGTTATATAAAAAAGGTCATTCAGTATCACTGTTTTGTTAACTTCCTTCCGCGAGGGTTGCCGGCAGCGACTGCCAAAATAAATCGGGCCGATGCGCCTACACACACGCAGTAAGGAGGGGGCGGTGCCCCGATCTAGGAAGCATCGGCTGATCTAGGAAGCATTTTTGCTCCTGCCAGCCGATTAAGGAGGCGATATCGGCCACGACTTAGGATGGCTCTACATACGACACGATTTAGAGGCAATCTAGGAGGCACCCCACTACTCCACCCTAGATCGCCACCGATATCGTGTCGTATGTAGCCCGCTTTAGCGATACTGCTGCTGTCATAAAAAATGAGTTTTAATAGAGCTAATAGTTGTCTCCCGCGCTCGCGTGGGCTTTTTACGGGGCTTTCGAGAAGACGTTCGCTCTCTTTCTAACCTATGGCAAAATATTCTATAATGAAATATAACTACGATTGTATATATAGCAATTAGTATAGAGATTTAAAGCCAGGCTTTTGGGAATAAATTTGTTAAAAGCGGAGGCGCGCGGGCAATACGTTTGCAAGTTCATTTCATTTTGTCTCTAGATGATGATGATGATATATATATATATATATATATATATATATATATATATATATATGTGTATATATATATATATATATATATATATATATATATATATATATATATATAGAAAGTACAACAGACGGTCTTGAGGACGGGAGTTATGATGGGAAATATTAGAGTTCCAAGTAAAAAGTTTTGAGTAGATTTTTGAAGGAAAAAGGGGACTGAGCAGGTCGGATATATAAAGGCGAGGAGTTCCATAAGCGTACAGATGTAACCGGAAATGATTTATAGAATCACTACCCCCATACCGTCCCATTGGTGTCGTAAGAAGCGACAGAAGGATAAGAACTCAAAATAATTAAAAAGCTCGGTTGCCGACACGTCTGCCAAGGGTGGCAACTATGGCATAATCCCCTCCCCCCATAAAGCAATCTTTGGGAGAGGCCGGCGTTTAGTAGTGGACTTTTTCAGGTTATAATAGATGGCATGGAATTATATGTAGTAGGTATGAGTTACAAACTGTGTACAGTCCACTTTATGGCAACGATTGCTGCACGTGATACAGACACTCACCTGTCCCTCTAATATTTTTTTTATAGCATTGGGTGATAAGCGAGCACACAGCCCACCTGATGATAAGTGAATGCTGTGGCCCATATACATCGACATTTATCTTCAACTAAGGATCAAAAGGCAAATGCGTTGTCACCCCTGAGGACTAAGATGGAATGCGTCGATTCCAGTTAAAAGGGTAACCAGTTCTCTACACTCACCATACGAAACACATCAGCATTACGCTGGTATTATGTGAGTTTATTTTAATAATTAACTTACAGTAGAGTACCGACAAATTTATTTGAAAGTCATAAATTATTCAATTTTAATGAATGTATGTATTGTCATTCCTGATCCAAACAATATCTTTCAAATTAAAACGTCGAATTTATTTCTTCTCCATCTGCAAGGCCCCGGGTACTCGTACTAGCCTGTTCTTAATAAATTATTCATCAGCAGCTGTATTAATTGTTCATTCAAGCCGCGTATTGCGCAATTACTTCATTAATGCTCACAATTCAATTCTCACACGTCCTCGAACCCAGGACCTGTGCTAGATCGTGAACGTTCACAATTACGACGTGTACCTGTGTACACTGTACACGTCGTAGTTATTAATTTATTTAAGTCACAATTTTTTTTAAATAGTTTAATGGTGATAACGAACACATGTCCACTTACCATCAGGTGAACTGTGTACTGATTTTTCTTCTTTGTTGTTCGTTTATCTTTTCTTTGTTTTAAAAAAACGTGGTTTATTGAATTTTTTTTATTATGTGCGAGCAACTATGCAGGTCTAGGGAAAGAGATCAGTATTACTGCGACCTATAAGATCTATTGTTATCGCTGCTAAGGCTATAGTTCACTGCTAAGCCCTATGTCTTCAATGAATAGAAGGAGTTGCTTAGCCGTGAGCAATTTCACTTCTTCTGGGCGGAGTAGATAGTTTCCCAGATGAGTGTTACGTTTGCGCATTAAGGGTCCGCAATCAGTTAGGATGTGTAGAGGCGTTTCTTCCGTTATGGAACAGAACCGACACGTCCTTGAGTTGCTTAGACCCAGGATGGACATGTGCTTTTTAAGACAACAGTATCCAGTTAGGGCTCCTGCCAGAATACGCTGTGGTTTATTGATAGTCCCGGATTTAAACTATGGGCCAAGAATTATTATTATTTCTCAGGAAAGAAGTTCTTTAACCGTGGCGCACACAGTCGCGAAATAAAGCTCCAGTTAATTTTACGTTTGCTATTTTCCACATGTATTTTCATAAAACATAGTCTACATACATTAAACATACTTTAGTATAAACCGGAAACTAATAATAAACGAATTATTGTAACAAGTCGGATAATATTCCTAACTACAGTGTAATAGCTATGCACTTGGCAGCTACCAGCCAGTATCTCAGTACTATAACTGGAAAGTTAGGTCATTGATTAAAAAAAAGTGTGGCAAAAAGAATGGAACAATTTTAAAATTTTCGCCGACTTGGAACCGCGCCCATTGCAATGTCAACGGGTCGTCGACCCGCGCACGTGTATGATATAAATATGGCCGCCGTAAATGTCATACGTAACGCGATTACAATTACTATTTTTAAATGTCTTGTGCTTCTCGGCCTTGAAAGTAGATTTCACTCGAGAGGTTACGCTAAGCCTCCTCCACATACTGTATTTTGGTTAAATGTTTTAGGGAAATGAATAAA